GATTGATTTTAATGTTTCTTAGTGTCTACTAGACAATGAATTTCCCTCAACCTGTTATTTTATTTGTCTTTTTGTAGTTGTGCTGTATTCTGTGGGCTAAGTAACACCTCTGTCTCTCCCTTTCTCCCTCTGTTTCTCCCTCTCTCTGTCTCTTTCTCTTTCCAAAACAATTATTGAGCTCTGGCTATGTGCTAAAAAAAACACTTTGCTTGATGCCAGAAGTATAAAAAAGAATACAGAGAGAAAACTCAGATTCTACCAGGGAGTCATTTTGAGCCAAGAAGGCTGGCCCTCACCAAGGGAGGGTCCTCAGGAATATGATAGGCACAAAGGTCAAGGCAGCCACAAAATATGTAGAGTACACAGAAGGAGGCAGTAGACTTTGTATCTCGGGTAGAGTAGGCTCAAAGGAGGCAACGCCAGAGGTAAGCCTTAAAGAATGAGCAAGAGTAAGCCAGGTGCAGAGGGGAGGTGTAGATGGAGGTGTTCCAGGCAGAAAGGAGAGGAGGAGCAAAGTTCCAATGCCAGAGAGTATGGTGTGTGTGGGCGTGTATATGTGAGTGTATTTTTAAGTGTAGAACCATGGGCTTCCCATCCATGAGACATTCTCCGCATTTATCCTTTATCAATTATAGTTCGCAGTAGGAGAAAATCAGTAATTGCAAATCTGATGTCATGTGGGAAAATGTCTTTTAATGTAAGACAGTATGGGCAGATATCCATTCATAATTTGTGGTAAGCCTAAGTACCTTTTGAGAATATCATGTTTCTGTTTTAAGAGTGAACGCTGTGCCATTATGTAATTTGAGCTCTGACCATATGCTGTAGATTTGGAGTATGTATAAAAGAAAGTGCAAGTGTCATCAATGCAGAAAATCACTAGAAGTCAGAGCCATGTTTCCGCCTTCCCACTTCTTTTGTTTTGTGATCTGCCCGAAAGCCTAATACAAAGCAATGTGCCAGCAATCACTTGTGTATGTTTTTATTTTTGAAGTTCTTAAATACTTTCTTATCTTTGAGACTTTTAAAAGAGTGGAAACATTTGCCAGATGTGAGCCAAAAGGGGAGAATAATAGGTGCCATCTGGAGAAATATTCAGGTGCATCATAAGGAACTAGAGAAATAACAGCTCTGGAAAGTTGAATTTCTTTCTGATATCAGAACCTACCATTCAATTTTTGTATTCTGTTTATGGCAAATTCAACTGATTCTGACTGTGTATTTAGGTGACTTGGCGATTCAGTGGTTAAATGGCATGTAAAGCTCATTTAAGGATCTCATGGAAGCCAAACTAAAGTACTTGCTTAAGAGACAGTATGAATATTTATGAATGTTGTTCATTATTCTCATTTAGGAACGATAATGAAGCCACCATTAGAAATGAATGTGCTTTTTCTGGAATCATTTTTAAAGGTAGAAAAGAAAATAAATAATATTTGACAAAATTAAAATAGTGGAAACACATCTAGGAAAATTACCATATAAATATCTTCTACATACATTCATAATTTCTCATCCTTATTTGTTTTGACCTCTTCTCCTTCAGTGGTTATTTCATTTTCTGTTAGCTGATTGGTAGACTTGGAGGAGGAAAAAAATATCCTGATTGAGAAGTGAGTTGCCATGGCAACCTTGCACTACAGTTATATTTTTCTGTCTGTAACTATAAATGGTAAAATGTAACCTTTCTAATTATGCTGCAACATTTTTAACTCTATTGGTACCAAATCCCCTACAAAATCTGATGTCATGCTAAATAAAAGCGATACATCTCATTTTTATCTCAACAAAAAAAATCTTTATATTAAGTGGAATCTCTTTTGTAAAAATTAAGATTCTATAACACACAATAAAATATCAAAATGTAGTGATCGAAAAATCTTACCTGAATGCCTAGATTGCTCTTTCTAAACATTCAGAATAATTAAAATATTAGCCTGAGTTTATTATTTTTAAAATGTGTTATTTGAACAGAACAAGGAGAAACTTAATTCAGAATGTGTAAATGAAGGTCTTCACCTTTAACAATGAATTATTTTTTCTTCAGTCCAATGGGAACCACCTAGACAGTCCCTGATTTTCTAGCACTAGTTTTAAGGAACTCAAACATTCAAACAGCAAATACAAAGCGGCCCTGCTTTGCCCAACCCAGATTCCCACCTCCCCTCCCTCTCTTGGAGCTCCTGTTGCCTCCACCCCTGCCAGGGGAACTCCTGGAAATATGAGAAAGCAGGGAAGCTCCAGGTTCACAAGTAGGATAGAGAAAGAAGCTATGAGAATAGGATACCTAGGGTCAAGCACTCTGTCAAAACTTCACCTTGCTCCAATCATAAAAACCAAATTATTTGATTTTTTTAAAAATTATTTCACCATTTAGTAGTATTGCTGAAAGTTCTTTCAACTGGAGATTGTACATTTCACATCAGTTAGAAGCATGTCAGATTAAAGCGGCTATCGCTGGTCATTCAAATCTTAGTGTCAATTACATAAATCAGGTTTCTATCCTGCTAAAGCTGGGCAGAATTAGAGCATGCTGAGGGAATGGAGTTTTGCGTTGTGTGGAGGGGAGTGGAAGATGGCTTTGAAAGAAGGAGGCTGGGAGGCTTGAGTATGGTGAAGTATAGGTGATTGGGACATGCTGTGGCATAGGATTTGGGGGGAGGACAATGGAAGTGGTAGACGGGGTGAAAGGACCAACATTTTACTTGACGACCCCTCTTTGTCCTCTCATCCCTCTGTCTCCTCTCTTAGCTATATGCAGAACATCCCATAAATGGAATCACACATGATATACAGCCTTTTCATATTTTTGCTTGTGTTCGTTTGTCATCTGCGTGTCTTCCTTGGTGAAGTGTTTGTTAATTTTTTTTTTTTTTTTTTTGTGAGGTGGAGTTTCATTCTGTTGCCCAGGCTGGAGTGCAGTGGTGTAATCTTGGCTGACTGCAACCTCCACCTCCTGGGTTCAAGTGATTCTTGTGCCCCTAAGTAGCTGGGACCACAGGTGTGCGCCACCATGCCCAGCTAATTTTTTGTGTTTTTAGTAGAGACGGAGTTTCACCATGTTGGCCGGGCTGGTCTGGAACTCCTGACCTCAGGTGATCTGTCCGCCTTGGGCTCCCAAAGTGCTGGGATTACAGGCATGAACGACCCCGCCTGGCCCAAATATCTTAAATCTTTTGCCAATTTTATTTCTGCTGGTTTGTTTACTTTTTGTTGAGTTTTGAGAGTTTCTAGAGTTTCTAAAAACACATTGTGCTTGGGAGCCCTTTGTCAGATATGAGAATAGCAAATATTTTTTCCAGCGTGTGCCTTTTCAGTTCTCTTAACAATGCATTTTTCAGAGAAAAAGTGTTTTTTTTTTTTTAATTTAATGAAATCCAATTTATCAAGTTTTGTTAAATAAATTGAGCTTTTGGTATTATACTTAAGAACTCTTTGCCTAGCTAATGATTACTAAAGTTTCTTCTGTTTTCTTCTAAAAGTTTTGCAGTTTTGTGTTTGACATATAGATCTGTGATCCATTTTGAGTAGATCCTTTTTGATGCTAGCATTTTTTTTAGCGCCATTTGATAATAGCTGGAATATTTTTATGTCTTTGAGAAAATGTCTAAGGACAAAAAGCTGCTATGACTTAAGCAATCCTTAAATTTGTGTATCTTTGTATCTACTGACCAATATAAGTTGACTCATGTTCTTATAGAGGCAACTTAAATTTATATTTTGTTAAACACAACAGCATCTACATATATTTGAAAAGCGCAGTACATGAATGTCAAGGTACTTGTGGAGTTGGGGATTCCTTGCACCGTCCCCCTCGGTCATGTAGTGGTTTACCATCCACAGATCTGGGCCAGTCTCTTCCTTTTACAGTCAAATAAGCAGAGTCTCAGAGTGAATCGGAGTGTTTTCCAGAGTCGAAGAGAAAGTTGGTGGAAAAGCTAGTTTAAAATCTAGAATCTAGATCCCTAGAATTCTAGTCCAGTGCATGGTCCATTACTTGGTTATGGTTTACTGAAGTGGCCACTGGCCACTAGAAAGCGAGGCATCATGGCAATAACCATTTGTTTGAACATGTGCCTTGCATTCTCCAAATTCTGTGAAGGCATGGATTACACTATTCTAGTCTTTAACTGCCTAATTACATCTCATATACTGTTATGTGTCCTAATATTATAACTGTGGCACTTGAGGAATTTTTGAGCAAATGGGTCCTTCCTTGGGCAAAGCAATATTTCAGATCAAACAGTTTTTAATAGATTTGCCTTGAAAATACCTGGATGAGTATTGGTTGCCTACAGTATGATATACAGGAAAAAGCAAGGGATTTAACATCAGAAAGACCAGTTTGAAACCCTGGCTGCCCCACTTACTAGCAGTGTGACCCAAGGCAAAATTTTTCAACTTTTTGAGCCTCAGTAAATAATAATAATAATAACAACATTGATAATACACATTCCACAAGTTAGAATGTATAGATTGAATAACATCTGGTATGTGACAGCCTGGCAAAGCTGGCATGTTACTGAGACTCAATAAACATAAGAGTTTCATCTTCTTTGCCATTGTTGGTATAAAAATTCTATTTGTTAGATACAAAAGCTAAGCACAATAGACAGTGAAAACAAAATTCGCAGTTAAATGTTAGAGACAATCACTCCTTGTTCTACCTAGACTTTTGCTGCGGCAATAGACATGTTCATACAGCCAGACTCGAACAGAAGTCACAGAGCCAAGCATGTTATAGAAAAAAGCCATGAGGAGAGATGTGATCTTTGCAGCAACACATGGAAATGAAGAGATATTGACAGCTTTCTTTACAGTGTTATTTCTTTCAGCGTTGGCCTTTGAGCTACAACTGCAGTGTTCACATGTTTCTTGTGAAATCTGCCTTTTTTATTTCTGAAAGCTCATCATGATAGCCACTTGTGTGGTGGCATAGATCCTGCAGGAGCCTTGAGGGGTCTGGGGAAGGGTGAAAGGGAGAGCCAGGGTCAACTTACCGGAGCTTGAACATTGCATCTCAAAGCAGAATTCAATGAGAATCATTCCCATGAATGTCTCTTGTTTCCTTCTCTTGAAAACATTCTGGCTGCAGCTTCCTGCCTCACTCTTGTATTTGAATCCCCCTGCTTGGCATCACATCATGCTCCTGGCATGACATGAATGACTCTTCTCATTGCCCGCCCCACCCCAGGGCTTGAGTTCTGTCATCTGTGGCTGTCATTGCAGAGATGCAAATGAAAGCTCCTTTGAGGTAAATGGAAGTCAACATGGCATCGCCTGGCTCCTGGCCCAGCAGGGGTGTAAATGCATCACCCTCGGAAATAAACATGCTTCTCTGCTTTTCTTGGCCTTCATAACTGCACATTCGTCTTTCTCTTTCCTGTGTATTCTCCAGACCATCTCAGAACTACTTCTACTCATCTCTACTCTCTGATCCACCCCATCCATATTTACCTACCTCTTTGGGGCCCTAGACATTCAAAATTGAAGAAATTCAGTATGTCATTAATGTGATTCTAGCATAAGTAAAGCTTGGCACCATCCCATTTCTACTTTTTGTAATCCTCCTTTTCACCTTGTTACTTCTTTCTCACCTGTCCTCAGACATCTAGGGCTCTGCACAGCTTCATTATTATTCAGGACTGACCACCTCCTTCTCCCTTCCCTCTGCCTCTGGAAGGAACACATGTAAACAATGAATCCACGGAGATACACTAAAGACTCTATCATGTGATACATACACCCAACACAAGGATAGTTTCTCAGAAAAGAAGACAGTGGCAATACAAACAAAATCCTGGAGAATATGCCACTAAGCCAGGATGGGGAGACTATTTTGATGTAAATTGCTCTTCCAGAAATATCACATGGCACAATGACTCAGTCAAGTACCTGGCACCTACTACGTGTCCTGTAATGGGATTGACATTGGATTTCTCCTATAAGGAAGCTAAGCTTGCACAGATTTTGAAAATTGCAAATCCCTCTTTGGTACCCATTTCCTCCCTGCCAAACAGAAATTCAGTCAATCACTTCCTCCTTAATTCTTATGTCATACACAATCCTAGTACTTGGGATATAGCTGTCCTTTTAGGAACTTTCAGTCCAGTGTGGGAACAGAATATCATGTGTAGTCCAGAATAGTGTGATATGTGCTATGAATAGGGTGGTTACGGGGCAGTGTAGGGATGTACCTAGCACGGCTTTGGGTATCACTGAAGATAGTTACTCCTAAGCCAAAGTCTGAAGGGCAAGGAGAGAACTTCCAGGTGAAGAGATGAAGGAGGTGCTCCATGGCAGGGAGAGAATATGGTGGGGTGTTTTAGGAAGGGCAAGAGTTTGTCACATCTGCAGCCCTGGGGTCGTGTGGGGTGAAAACAGCAACCACTACAGCAAATGACACTATTTCCTGTGGGGAAGCCAGGCAGTCCACACCCTCTTCTGGCTTCAATGTCACCTTAAGCATAAGAGCCAAGAGACCCACCATGCTTGGTGCTCCACTGCCCATCACCCAGGGCCTTACTACCACTCTGCTGAGAGGTCTTCAGGACTCATTCCATCATGTCCTCCATCCCTATGTCCATAGACTGTCATTGAAACCCTAGTCAGGTCATTTCTTATTGCCTGGACCATCCCCACAGAGCTCTGTACCTCCCTGAACCTGACTCAAGCTAATATCACACTGAACTCTCAAATTATTCCACTCCACCTTGATGAGTATGTCATTTGTCATTGCCAAAATCCTCCACTCCTCAGCATCCCCTCTGAATGATCTCCCACCTTTTTATTAGGCTCTATCAGAGGACCCTGCTTCCACAGCCTCTGTCTCAGCAAGGGCTGTTTTCCCCCCAAACTGACATATTCACAGGGTCTGGAGGAAGATAGGGGTCTCGTTTGCTTCTCATCACCACTTCCTGTTAATTTTAACTCTCTTCTCCCTGAAACTCCCCATCTCATTTGAAGCCATGCCCTCGTGAGCTTCTCTTCTTCGTTGGAGTCATCTGAAGGTCTCTGAGACACTCACACTCATTCTTTGAAGACTTCAGGACCAGACTCACTGTCTTTTACAAACCCTCCTCCTGACATAATGGTTGGTGATTTCAAAATCCATGCAGAGGATCCTTCCTCTCCCTGGCCTCTCACTTTCATGACCTTCTCCCTGATGATCTTGTCCTTCCCGCTACTGCAGCCATTGATAGATCTTGCCCTGTAATTAACCATATACCCTACTATATCACAAAACTTCTATTTCAAAGCTTCCCCTCTTTGGATCCTGCTTTCTGTCTATCCAGCTCACTCCCGTCAGTCCTTTGATTCCAGGAATTCTGCAGCCCTACCACTATCACCAACCCATTAATTCTACCAGTTTTTTCACAGTCCCCACCACTCATATTCTCATTTCCCTCCATGCCCATCCAAACTCCACAGCCCCCATGGTAACCCCTTCCTTGCAGACCCCTTCCACTCCCTTGCCGTCATTCTCTTTGTTTCACTCACTTAGGTGAATTGTAAATGTGGCTAATGGTAAATCCAACTCAGTCTATTTTGTTCCTTCTCCCCAAACAGCTAAATATGGCAGGAGAAAACAATGCCAGATAACCTGACTTTAATCCCATGAATACTAACCTAAACTGAGCCATTGGTATGGCCCAAGGATCTTCAAGAGGCAGCAGAGCATGTGGAGAGTTTATGCGCCTGATTCCCAGTTCAGATTCCCAGCTCTGCCCCTTATGGGCTGTACCATCATGAGATATTTACTTTTATGTTATTTGCTTCGGTGTTTTAATCTGTAAAGTGGGAAGAATAGTAATACTTATCTGGGATTGCAGTGAGGATTACATTAGTTAATATATGTAAAGTGCTCAGAAAAGTTCCTGGCACATAATGATCTCATACACTGGCACATCATCATCATCATCATCCTCTTATTACATTTCCTGGTCCCCTTACTCTTCTGCTTTCCTAGAAAACCATTTCACACATTTTCTCTCCCTCAGCCCTAACTCCTGTTCAACCTCCTCGCTTTGACTCAATTATCTTGATTATTATTTTACTGAGAAAATATAAGTAAACAAAAGAGAACTTTCTCCACTCTGAGTCAATGAACATACCCCAGCTATACCCATCTTGTTCTTTCCCTCTTGCTGCTGTGAATGAGCCCTCTGTACTTCCATCTAAGATTGACCACCCACCATGCCTTAGGTCCCATCAATTCTCAAAGACATCTGTCTAGTGATTTCCCCCTCACTCTCCTGCATCAACGATTCACTGGGTCATTCCCATCATCATATCTACATGCTGTAGTAACCTTCCTCAATCCATCAACCTCGAAGTAGCTACCCGTTTCCCTCTTCCTTCTTCACTGCCAAACTGCCTCAATGCCTCTACTTCCTTGCTTTCCATTTTTTCCTAAATCCACTCCTATAATTTTTTCCCCACCATTGTCCCACCAAAACTGCTCTTATCAGGGTAACCAAAGACCACTCTGTTGCCTAAACTATGGTAATTTCCCAGTCCTTGTTTTTATTTGATTAACGGTAGCATTTGAAATGGCCAATTACTCCTTCCTTGAAACTTTTCTCACTTGGCTTCTGAGATATCATGCCCTCCTAATACTCTTGTTTTCTCCTTGGCCACTCCTCCTGATTCTTTTGCTGTTTTCACCTCATATTCTTGACCTCTAAATATTGCAGGGTCTGAGGGTCCAACCCCTGGCCCTCTTTTGTCTCTACTTACATTGACTCCCTTAGTGATCTCTACCAGTTTCAAGCATTAAATACCATCTCTAAGCTAATGATGCCTGTATTTATATGCTTTTTCTCCAGATAGCCTTATGGCTTACTCTATTACTTCCTACAGGTCTTGGTTCAAATTTCACCTGACAGAGAGGCCTTCCCAGGCCATTCTAAATGAAATAGTGTTCCCACCCCATCAGTCTATATCTCCTTATTCTGTTTTATTTTTATTATTATTATTTGTACAGCCGTTTTCTTCTTCTGGCATATATTTATTTGTATATTGGAAGCCTTTGAGAACAAGGACAGTATCCAGCTCACAGAGAGCCTTGCATATAGAAAGCTACCTATAAATGTTTGTTGAATAAAAGCACAATCTCATTCAGTCCTGACAATACCCCAACAGTCCTGTTAGAAGGATTATTACAGATGAAGAAACAGAATCAAGTTAACCCATTACCACACAGCTGGCAATTCAGGCAGTCTGACTCCAGCCCACATGCCTACCTACCTTCCTACAGAAGCCAGAAGGGTACACAGGATCACAGGGTTCTTTCACTAGGTACAGAGTTTCTGTTGAGGACACATAGAGAGCTGCTGGGGTGGTGGGGGGGGGGAGCATAGGGGAGTGACGTTCCCTTAGTAAGGTGCTGACTCCATCCAAAATTTGCACATAATTGCCCATCTCCAGTTCCTAGGTCACTAAGTCCTGCCAACTCAGAGGCTCCTTTGGTGCTTCACTGGAAAGTTTAGGCTGACAGTAGATTTTATATACGCTTCGTCAGCATCAAACTGGCCTGTGCTGACAATATTTAAGTCAGATTTAGTTAAGAGCTTCAAATCAATGCTACCTTGAGGTCCCTGAAATTAAAACCTTTTCTTGCTGTTTCCCTAGCAGGCTGATAGTTGACATAATCCCCAAAGAAGCTTATATGTTAATACTTAAGAACCATTTACAGTTCTCATGCACTGCTGGCCCAAAATGCCATGACTTGAGCTAGACATACTAGCAAAAATATTGAGCTATTTAAAGAACATAGTGTAGTTCAAACTATAGTGAAAGAGGATAGGGTTTTCAAGAATCTGATTAAATAAAAGGATTTAAAATACACATATTTTAAATATTTGACTTCTTAGTGCTCCATGGATTCTGACCTTTCAGGTACCTCGCTCATGGGGATTGTAAGACACAAAGAATATTTCTATGTAGGCAATAAATGCATTCAGTTCAAAGATGCTCATATTTACTATGTTTCCATGGTGAAATGAACTACTGTTTTCTGTTTTAAAGGGAACCAGGTTTTCACCCTCCAATACCTCCAAAGCCCAGTTCTCCTGTTTCTTCTCCTAACCAGCTGAGAGGGGATAATAGGTAAGACCCAGTACTCCAGAATTTCTTGCCAAAATGAAGTTCAAGGGAAATGAAAATAAATGGACTGTGACCTGCTCTGTGCAAAGCATGGATGTTTTATGTGCACATTCCCTAAAGAAGCGCCTGTAGAACTTTTTATAACTCGTAGGTGTATTTATGTTTGCCTTTGAATACTAATGGCTAACTTGTCTGAAGGAAATATGCCTTCAAGATAAAAATGGAACAATATTCATGTTCATAAAGTGTTTGTGCACAGACTTTTTATTTATTAGCACCTAATATACAAATATAAATATACATACATATTTGGCACATATTATATATAATATAAATATAAACCCTATTAAAACTATATTTTTTGTTCATGTTTGTTCCAAGTTAAGTTTCCCAATAAGAGGTACCTATTCTGTTGAAAGATGTTCTTAAAACTTTGTGTTACCACTCAAATCCTTGCTTATGTTAGAAATACCTTTGGGTAGTTCTTTAATCTTTTTAAGCAAAGGGATTTGTAATTTATTTCAAAACTATCACATAACTTGTCTCTGAATCCAGAAAAATAGACTTTCTTCTCAGCTTTGAATCTCTGTCACTCTATAATTAATACTTGGAAATAAATTCAGAGATCTGAAACGCTTCCCATGTGTTACATTTAAACTGTTTAATATATCTTGAACAATTGTTCAAGATGTACATCCACATTTCCATTATTATTGTGAGATTAAAAAATGGTAACTCAATGAAGATTGACTACATTAGATCTGCTTGATTGCCTGCCATTGCTTCTTTTGTATTTTTGCTCTTTGATGGTGATTTTTTTTGACACCATGTAAGACACAGTTATGGAACTATTCTTTAATAAGAATAGACTATAGAACTATTCTTCAGTAGACACAATTATAGAAATATTCTTCAGCAAGAGGGTAAACTTCAGTTAGAAAGTTC